GTGTGTGTGTGTGTGTGTGTGTGTGTATGTGTATGTGTGAGTGTGTGTGAGTGTGTGTGGTGAACATGAATGCCTGAGAATGAGCAGACCAGAGGACCAGTCTTGGCTGTCATTCTTTCTCAAGTACTATTTACTGTTTTGTTGTTATGGTGTTTGTTTTTGTAATTTCTTTTCACTTTGTATCATTGACTGGCCTGGAACTCACAGAGATCCTCTTGCCTCTACTTCCCCAGTGCTAGGACTAAAGGTTTGTGCTACCATGCCTGGTCACCATTTGCTTTTTGAGAGTGGGTCTTTCCCTGGGACTGGGGTCTCTCCAATCAGGCTGGTCTGGCTGAGCAAGGAGTCCCAGGGATCTGTCTGTCTCTGCCTTCCCATTGCTGGATTGCACATGCACCTTGCCACGACCAAGTTTTTTACGTGGGTTCTGAGGACATGCTCACATGGCAAACAGTTTACTGACTGCACCATTTCCTCCAGCTGTGTTTTGTGGTTCTCTGGCATCCTTTGGGAGCGAGACCTGCCCTTTTCCTATCCCATGATTTCTTTTGGGGCTATAAATTAAAGGACCCTTGCCCATAATTATTTGACCCTCAGAAATGGAGGCTTGTGGAAGAGGAGCTGCTCAGTCAGAGCACCTCCTCCTGGATAGATGAAGGCACATGTGAATTGCTTAGCCTGCTAAGAGCTGGGTTGCTCAGCAGGGTCTGCTGGGGCTTCTCTGCAGTGGAGGAGTGTGAGATCTGTAGGTAAAGAGAGACAAAAACTAGAAAGAAACTGTGAAAAGGGAATGGTATTTGGCCCTTGGGAATCCCTAGTTGCAGTGCAAAGGCCCTGGTTTGATTCTATTTGTTCCCACGTTGACTATGTGGTCATCCCAGTACCTCCAGCGAACACACACACACACACACACACACACACACACACACACACTTCTGAAATGAAGTTATTCCATCTGGGCTAACAATTCTTCCAAGAGCCATAAACCATCTAACAAAAATCCCAACACCAGGTATGAGAAAACTTTTTTCATCAGAGATCACATAAAAACAACTGGGCAAAATACAGAGAACAACTGCTCATGGGTGTCCAGCCCCAATGGATACATCTACAATTCCTGCACCTAAGGATCATAGAACATCTCAGAGGAGGGGAGAGTATGTAAGACACAGAGGACCGGGAAGACTGTGAGTTTGCACCTCCTAGAAAGGACTGACAAGCTTCACCCATGATACTGCAATAATCTAGTCGCCTACACAAGACCTGGGAATAACAGCATCAATAGACATGCTAATGTAGGGGTGGGGAGTCTCACCGGGCCCCATCCCTAAACAGAGACAGCTAATGACTGTTGTGGAGGGAGAATTAGTCTTCCCCAGGGATGAGCCCTTTAATTGGTTACATAATACCCAGTGGTCAGACCTGAAATCACACACATACAAGCAATACTAAGTGGACTCAGCAGGTTGCATTTATGTATTTATCCATATGTATGTAAAATAATAATAAGAGGAAAAGAGGCCATGTACTTGAAAAGGAGTAAAGCAGGGACATGGAGAGAGAGGACACAGTAGGGGCTGGAGGGAGGAAAGAGAAGGGGGGAACATGATGTAATTATATTGAAACTAAAATATTAAAAACAGAAAAAAGCTAAGTGAATCTCTTACCACAGATGCCTTCAGTCTTCCTCTCACACTTTTTGCATGTTAATTTTTGCTGCTTCCTGCTGTTTTTCTGGGGTTGTTTGTTTGTATTTGTTTTTGAGACATGGCCTCCCTATGGAGCCCAGGCTTGCCCAGGACTCACAATCCTCCTGCCTCAGCCTCCACAGAGAGTGGGGATTTCAGGTGAGCCTTAACACATGGGACACTCTGGGCTTTATTTTTTCTATTACATTTTATTTGTTTCCATGTGTGTGGGGCACAGAGGACAGTTATATAGGAGTCAGTTTTCTTCTTCCACCATGGAGATCCTGGGGACTGAACTCAGCTGGTCAAGTTTGGCAGTGGGTGCCTTTATCTACTGAGCCATCTCACTAGCCCTACTCTTGGCTTTTTAAAGACTTTTTAAAGTTATGTGTCTCTGTGTGTGTGTGTGTGGGGGGGTACCCTTAGAGGCCTGAAGCATTAGCTCCCTTGGAACTGGAGTTACAGGCAGTTGTGAGCTTCCTGACACCAATGCTAAGAACAAACTCTGGTCCTCTCTGTAAGAGCAGCAAGTACCCTTTAATGCTGAGCCATCTTTCTGGTCCCTGCTTTGGGATTTAACAGCCTACTTCTGCCCAGTGCAAAGAGAAAGGAAAGGGGACAGCAGTTGTGCTCTCTCTCTCTCTCTCTCTCTCTCTCTCTGGGACACTTGGTAAGACTTCCACCTGTACCCCTTTTGCTTCTGTGTTTGCTCTGATGTTCACACTTTTAGACCTTGAGGACTAGAACTCAGGCTCCCCGTGCCCATCTGAGGCTGCTCTCCAGATACAAAGCACTGCAGCAATGCTGGCAGCCGCCCACCTGTAACCTTCCTTAGGACATGTACCTCCAGTGAGCTTCACAGCACTTCTGTGAGGTAAGTTCCATTTTTGTGCCTCCTTGACAAATGAAGAAAGTGAGGGAGAAAGATGAGTCATTTGCCTGTGACCATCTGCTGGCAAGTGGCAGGCTAAAGACCCACCTGTGGACCACATATGGACCTTACCTTTAGCAAGACCCTTGGTCCCTCAGGCTTCATGGCTCTCAGCTATGGGTTTTCGACCTGCTGTGATGAGCTAGATTCTCAGGTAAGAACATCCCCCCCCAGCCTTTCTCCAGAAACTCAGAACCCCAGAAGCTAGAGGACTTCACAGGCCCTGTGGTGCCCTTAGATCTCTCTTCAGAGAGGGCCCTCACTTCTCCAGCTGCTGGGTCGGTCACCTTTGAGTGGGTCACAGTAGATATCCTCTCAGGGTTTCTCCTGATAATGAGATCCATCTGGCTAAGGCCAGATTCTTTTCCAGGGAGAAGCCTGCATCTCAAAATTGTTCAATCAAAGGCCTCAGTGGGGTTCTCTTTGGGAGATGCCCCCCAATAGGATTGGGTGGGGCTTCCTTCTACTGCTTCTCAGAACCACCCTCTCTCTCCCTAGTCTTTTTCTTTCACCATTGACAGATCCAAGCACATCTCAGTAGATGTGCAAACTGTGGCCCCAGAAACTGAGTGCCAAGATTCCAGCCTAGCTGGACAGTGGTGTTGCACACCTTTAATCCCAGCAATCAGGAGGCAAAGGCAGGTGGGTCTCTGTGAGTTCGAGATCAATCTGGTCTAAAGAATGAGTTCCAGGACAGCCAAAGCTATACACAGAGAAACTCTGTCTTGAAAAACCAAGCACAGCCTAGAGACTCAGACAGAATGTGAGCTCAGGTTTTCCTAGATTTTCCATTTTCCTAGCCGCCTGGTATTTTGGCTTTTATATCTTTGGCATTAACTGTGTTAAAGGGTCATGCTTGTACCTTACCCTAACAGCAGGTGGTATTTCCAGATTAGGCCTCCACCTATCCTGACCATCTTACTGGCCCCAGGATACCTGCAGGTGGCCCACCTGGGACCAACTCCTGTTATCTCATTCCCGTGACCCTCCAAGCATGTTGGGGCTTGGGACCACCTCAAATGCAGGTTCATGAAGCATACAACAAGACTCTTGACTGTGTGGATCTCCTAAAATGAGGCCCAGGCAGTGGATTCAGGGCCCAACTTGTTCTCTTGGCTCAGATCCTTGGGCCTTCCTTGCTGAGGTACCAGAAGCTTTCTGTCCTCTTCCTCATCCTCCCCTTGTAGTTGGATAGCTACCTTCCTGTAGAAAACCAGCATCAAAGCCCCGCCCCCTCTTTGTTTCACACTCCCCACTGCCTTCCATGGCTTGCATGGCTTCACACTGCACACCCAGACCTGCCCCAAGAGGCCATGGAAGAGACCATCCTTGGCCAATGAAGCAACACTTGCTGTCCTTGGAACAAGGCTCATTCATTCTCTTCTCCTCTGACATTTTCTCCAAGAAGCTCTTCTCTGTGAGGGCCGTCTGCAGAAAGGAGAAGGCATCCTAATCTCCTTGACCCAACTGCAAGATCAAACTGCAAGTCCCTCTCATCTGGTGACAGTGGTTCCAGATTTGTAGGGAGCCAGACCAACCAAAGACTTTATCCGGGGCCCTGATGACAAAGGGACTTTAGTTCTGCGTTCTTGCACAGAAATAGACTAGGCAAGACCAGTCTAGTGCTAGAGCCAGTGCTGTAAAGGAGTCAAGGCTGTAGCTTATGGTGACCTGACTCTTCTCCCTGGACAGTGGTTATGAGGCCTAGGTCACCGATGTTTGAGGTATCTGTGTTCTCTTTGCTAGCATTGTCTGGCTTAGCTCTCTGCTTACCTTAGCCATTTTCTCCCTGCAAATAGTATATAAGATACTCTCTCTTCTCCTCCTCTTCCTCCTTCTCCTCTTCTTCTTTTGTCTTTTTGAGACAGAGTTTTCTGTATAACAGCCCTAGATGTCCTAGAACTCATTCTGTAGACCAGGTTGGCCTTGAACTCGGAGATCTGCCTGCCTCTGCCTCCCAAGTGCTGGGATTAAAGGCATATGGATGCTGTCCTTCTTAACAAACTTGCTTGGCATTAGCCATCAGCTTATGTGAGACCTCCTGGTCCCAGCTATTGTTTTTGTCTTCTTTAATTCTCATCCCTGCTTGATATCTCACTGCTCCCTGCCTTCCCACCTACCTGCCTGATGTTCCCGAAATAGAAATGGCTGGTGCCTTGTGAAAGCATCGTTTCATTGTAAATAAAGTAAAAGATGACATGGTGAGACTCTCCCCTGAATCATATCTCAGAATAGGAAGACTAAGACAGAGGTCTGGGCTCAGGGAATGACTCAGTGGGCAAAGCATCTGTCATGCAAGCTTGAGGGCTTGAGTTCAGCTCCCAGAAACCACATAGATGCCAGATAAGGTAGTGTGCACCTACGAGAGGATCAGATACCAGCTAGCCTGGTGTGCATGGGGACAAACACCAAAGAGATCCTGCCTCAAATGAACAGGAAGGTAAGGTCATATATGCCCACACATAGGCCATGGCATGACAAGAACAACAACCTCTCCTGGCAAAACAAAACTGAAGACTGACCTTTTACCACTGTCAATTGCCAATTTAAAAGTTAAAAAAAGAAGAAAATTAAGCTAAACCTCAAGTAAACTAAGCTAAACCTCTTGCCTTTACCCGACAAGAGGAAAAATGGTGATTTTGAAATGCTGATTTTCAGAGTGGCTGAATCCAGGGTAGAGAGTCGCCTTACAAAAGCTCAGTGTGGGGGCTGGTAAATCAAATTCAAGCAGTGACAAATGCATAGACGGATTCTAGAGAAAGAACCATAGTGTTCCTGAAGAAAGGAGCTTAGCCTGTTAGTGGAGACCCTGTCACTTCCCCGGCTGTCCAAGACTCTGGATGCTGGCCACCTCAGCCAGGCAGCTCGGGTCACAGCCTTGTCCTCTGCCTTGTGCCCAGAGGCTCAGCTCTGCAGACAGTGATATCATTATGTCATTGCCCAGGCTGAAAAAAAAAAAGACTGTCTTGCATTCAATCTTATTTTCTATTTATTTCCTTGGAGCCTTGTTCCCATGACTAATGGCTGGAAGCTTCTGGAAGGTGGCAGAGCTTGGCTTAGCCTGGGAGATAATGAGAAAAGGGCAGGTTCAGAGAGAGTCCCAAGATCACAGTGGGGATCTGACTCACATTGGACCTGTGCCTCCTCCTCTGGGCTTTTGCCCTCTGCTCAGTGTAGGGAAGCAGCTCTCCAGATACACAGGTCTATTTTAGGGCTAGCTGTAGCATTCTAGAAGGTCCCTGGTAGTGAGGAAGGAGGGTCCTGTCTTTTCTACTTTCTGTAACAAATTGACACAGGAACTGGAGAAATGGTTCAACTGAGAAATGCCTTGAAATCATGAGGACCTGAGTTCCACCTTCAAGACCCATATTAAAAATGGTGGTACATTCTTTGTAATACTGGGACTGGGGAAGCAGGGACTTGAGGTCTGATGGCCAGTCAGTATAGCCTAATAGGCAAGCCCTAGGTCCCAGCAAGGGGTCTTGAAAAATAAGGTGGATGATTCCTGAGAAATGATACCTGAGGTTGACTTCTAACCTCCACACTGATGTGCATGCATTCCCACCAACCCCCATGCGTGAACACACAAATAAATATAATAATGAACAGACCTTATGCTTTCTTTTTTTAAAAAAAGATTTTATTTATTATGTATACAGAATTCTGCTTCTATGTATATCTCCACACCAAAAGAGGGCACCAGATCTCATTACAGATGGTTGTGAGTCACCATGTGGTTGCTGGGAATTGAACTCAGGACCTCTGGAAAAGCAGTTGGTACTCTTAACCTCTGAGCCATCTCTCCAGCAGACCTCATGCTTTCAAAGGCTCTATATGTACACACAGATTACAGTACTTGTGGGGGCTGGAGAAATGGCTCAGTGGAGAGTTTTGACCTGCAGAAGTTCTAAGATGGGAGGAAATCCCAGGTCATCATCATTCTAGGCTCCTTCTCTCACAAAGCAGGGTCCCAAGTAGAGGCTTGCATGAGGTAGAATTGTTGAAGGTCCAGTCTTTGTCTCCCTGAACCTTCCAATGCAGGCTTCCAGAAGACTAAGCTACCAATACATACATATCACATCTCACAGTGACAGGGGCACTGTGCAATGGTGCACCACTCGAATGTGTACTCCTGTACAGACGGCTCACTGTGCAATGGTGCATCATTCATGTGTGTACTTCTGTACATATGGTTCACTGTACAATGGTGCATCATTCATGTGTGTACTCTGACTGGTACGAAACTCTATATGTAGGCCAGACTGGCCTCAAACTTATAGAGATTTGCCTGCCTTTGCCTCCTCGGTACTAGGATTAAAGATGCATGCTACTACAGCCAGCAATAATTAAATTTTACAAAATAAAGAATAACTTCAGATATACTTTGATAATTTTAATCTTAGCTATTTACTAGATATCTTATGTATTGGTCATAGTGAATATTTCTTAATATTTTTGAAGACAAATAGCTTTTTAAGAACTCTTCTAAAATTAACATGTTGGTGTTTCACACTAACATTGATGTACATATTGATGAAAATATATTTATATAATTACATCTATTTTCAATGTTATTAATAAAGCACAGAAAATATTTTAGATTTTATTTTCAAGTGTGTGTGTGTGTGTGTGTGTGTGTGTGTGTGTGTGTGTGTGTGTAGTACCCAGAGAGGGCAGAAGAGGGCAGTCAAATCCCTTGAAGCTGGAGTTACAGGCAGTTGTAAATTGTCTGATATGTTTGCTAGGAATTGAACCTGGTCTTCTACAAGAGCAGTAAGCACTCTTAACTGCCAAACTGTCTCCAGCCCCAGAAAACATTTTATTATAAGGGTTTTGTTTTATTGAAACAAAGGAAACAAAGATTGATTCCATAGGTAAGTGTATAACAATGGACCAGTGTTTATTCTTTCTGATCATTGGAACATGGCCAGCTGAGTGATTCAGATTCATCATGTGGATCATGGAGGTGACACTGCTCTCCTGGATGCTTTGCTACTGTTCCGTTTCCTGTCCTCAGTCCCTGGTGTGATGGGGACTTTTTGTTGTTGTTGCCCCCCCCCCCGCCCTATTTGAGTTTTCCTCCTAACTCACATTGACTTGTTTATCCATGAATCTTAATTTAGCCACTTGCAAATGTGTGTCTATTTTTAACAGGTGCTGTCTCTTGTGTACACGAGTTGAGTCTTGTCCTAATCTCCTTCGGCTTGGATGTAGCTCTTGGGAAAGGGCTGCTATGTCTTAATGTACTCAGCTGCTCATCCAAGACGATAAAGCCATTGATGCTTCCAGTGGCAGCTGTCTTCAAACCCTTGGCATGTTTAAAAACAAACTCAGAAAACTAGGCTCTGGGGACCAGAGAACCAAGTGCAATTTATTGTATGATGGAAAACATTTTAGGAAGCCCAAGAAGAAAAGGAAGTCCTTTCAGCATCTTCCTTAAGATCCACAAATGGTCATCCTTGTATTTTTCCAATCGCTAAGGCACTTTTTTTTCTCCTCTGAAAGTCATAAAGGATTTGGTGGTTCTCAAGAAATGATGCAAAAGTATCCTTAAGTAACCTGAGGCTGTGTGTACTGCTTTCTCTATGTTTGATGAGTAGTGACATTCTACAATAAAACAATGCATGGAGCAATCAATGCCATCAAACACTCAGTGAGCTGCTACCATGAGAGTTATGGGTGGGAATACCTTGTTACCTTGTATTCCCTATAATCTGGCTATCAAACAATGGTAATTGCTCAGTAGATGTGTGCTAAATTGGAATTAGTATGGAGAATGTTTTCTCTAAAATAACTCATATCTTTTGACAGAGCAAGGAGAATGATCCATGTCACACTAAGGTTCACAGTGTGTGTGTGTGTGTGTGTGTGTGTGTGTGTGTGTGTGTGTGTAGTACCCAGAGAGGGCAGAAGAGGGCAGTCAAATCCCTTGAAGCTGGAGTTACAGGCAGTTGTAAATTGTCTGATATGTTTGCTAGGAATTGAACCTGGTCTTCTACAAGAGCAGTAAGCACTCTTAACTGCCAAACTGTCTCCAGCCCCAGAAAACATTTTATTATAAGGGTTTTGTTTTATTGAAACAAAGGAAACAAAGATTGATTCCATAGGTA